CGACAACGTTGAAACACCACTACCAAAAGACGCGCCTGCGGCCAACGCTACAAACGCTAACGCCGAGACCGTCGAAAAGATGCTTTCCGAGTTTAACAAGAAATCGGAAGAGCAGGAAAAGCTCATTGGTTCACTCGCAAAACGGCTCGAAACCCTAACTGCGAGAACCAAAGCAATTCGCCCCCGCGGAACTACCAAACTCCGCGGAAGGAGACTCGATTTCGGCGCTCCTACGGATCGTCCCAGAAACGATCAGGGAAACGTACTGGAAAAGGATTCCGAAAACCCTGACACGACGCTGAACGAATCGGAAAGATCTCATACTCGCGAACAGGAGACCGAAGGCGACGGCATCGAAAGGGTCAACCAGGAAACGAGCGACCAGGCTGACTCGACTGACGAAGACGCCGACGTTCATCCTAGGAGAAGGAAAACTCGCAGTCCTCAACCGGAGTCGTCTCCCGAACGTTCCTTTACTGGAGACGAAGGGGAACCCGACTTCGCGCGATACGCAAAAACCGCCGAGGAGCGATCTCCGGTCACTCGCAGCAAACGCCGACAGAGTCGGAAAATTGCTGGCAATTAGACCGAGATTCGCGATCTCCGCGAATACATTACCAAAACGGCCGCAGCGGTAAAAGCGGTGAAATCCCAGACTCACCACGCGACCAGCGCCGCACCCGAGATCGATCGGCTGCTGTACGAGTCTCGGAAAACGCCCTTCACGGCTTGCATCACCGAGATCAAACTGCCCGATCCCAGAAAGCTTAAGGTGCCGACTTACGACGGGACGACCGATCCCAAAGCGCACCTGCAAGCATTCCAGATTACCATGGGACGAGCCAAGCTCAAGGACCACGAAAACGACGCAGGTTACTGCCGCCTCTTCGTCGAAAACCTAGAAGGAGCCGCGCTCGAATGGTTCGCCAAACTTAGGCGAAACTCGATCGGAAGTTTCCGTTGACTGGCTTCGGAGTTCCTGAAACAATACTCGATGTTCATTAACCCGGAGACCTCCGACGCCGATCTCTGGAGCTTGGTGCACGAGGAGGACGAATCTCTCCGCGATTTCATGAGTAGATTCAAACTCGTCATGGCTAGGGTTAGCGGGATCAGCGACAAAGCCGCCATCGACGCGTTAAGAAAATCGCTCTGGTATAA